CGGGGGATGATGGCGACGACCGCAGATGGTTAGCATGTTGTGACGCGTTTCGCCACGCGAGGGCCCCTTCGTAGATTGTGTTCCCGTTTCGCCCCGCCGCACGCGCGCAGTGTGTCTCGTCTCCCGCCGACGCTTGGTAGCTGTTAACCGACCTTCGAGAGAGGTCGGCTTTATAGGGTATTTGAAGGTGAATTGTGAAGTCAATGCGATGGATGGTTTGCGCCAGGAATGACGAGCGGCGCCTTTTATTACTCTTTTTTGAGAATGACAGTCCGATTTCGATAGGGTTTTGCGAGTGTGTTCATTGGACGGAGTCTAGCAATGGAACAGTGTGTCCTGTTGGAATATGACGATGCGTTTCCTCAAATCTCTCTTTCTCGTGATTGGTGTGAATGTCGTTTTCTTCGTGGTGATTGGTTTATTGTTTGGAACGGTCGTTGTTTGGCAATGTGATGGCAAGTATGATCATCTGCGAGTGTGTTAATTAGACAGAGTCCAGCAATGGAACGCTGTGTCCAGTTGGAATATGACGATGCGTTTCCTCAAATCACACTTTCTCGTGTTTGGTGTGAATGTCCTTTTCTTCGTGCTGATTGGTTGATTGTTTGGAACGGTCGTCGGTTGCCAATGTGATGACAAGTATGATCAGTGCACCTCAGTACGGATAACTTTGCCGACAAGCCGATGAACTGATCCAATGATCGGTTGATCGGTTGGCCGCCAGACTTGTTCAAGTTAGGGTGTGATGCTCCGCGAAGTCAGCCATTGGTGGTGGACTGGGTTCCGTTGTGTTGATGAAAGCGCACTGAAAAATGCGCAAAAAACGCATTCACGCTTCAGTCTTGCTGACGAGGCAATAAATCAATGAAAGGCGCACACATCGCCCCTAACATACAAACCGCAACACGCAAAATAAAAAAACAAAAAATGAAAGACAATAAAACGAAAAAAAGCGAAAGAGGAAAAAAAGAAATTTGGATTGCAATCACATACACGAAACCACACCCTCGTCACATAGCACCGATAGCCGCACACACGCAGCCGGAACTTCAGTCTACGGTACACATTTGGAAAAAGGAGAACAATAACGAGTCACCTCCGGACAGATCACTCCGCCGACAGACACTGTCTTCTTCGAAATCGAAATCGTGCAGCTGCGCGCACTCACTCACAACAAACTGCATCACCGCGATTCACCAGGCGTTAACAACCTACTACAAAATGGTTAACAAAAGAAAGGAAAAGAATAGCGGATGAACAGCCTCTCCGCCGACGGCTCCGCGACATCAGCGATCAATGACAACCCGCAGTGAACGTGCACAACACCCCAGGGCACGGCACACACTTGCGACAGCGACATAACACAGAACACAGAAGGCCTCCGTTGGGCGATGACCCCAGCATGACCTCCATAAGGACGGCAGAGCCACGTGCCGTCGACGCGGTGCGCGCCTTCACTCGTGTTTCATCCGCTCCGCCAACACCTCGCGTAGCGCCAACGCACGGGGCCGATTGAAGTTCCCAGCAATGGGGTGGGGTGGATGATCCAACCCCAAGTCCACTCGCTGGCGCCGCCGCACGCCATTAGCATCTACCTCCCACAAGAAGTTCTCGTTGAACTCAATGCCAGCGTCAAGGAGGATGTTGTGCAGAATGCACACGACCTGGAACTGTTGTGGTAGAGTGTCCATATTCGTCTTGTGTGTGCGGAGGAACAACCTCCACATCCCTTTTAATCTCCCGAAAGCTCTCTCCACTGCTCCCCTGGCGACCTTTTGCTTGTTGTCGAACCTCTCCTCATCGGGGATTTGATCGGTCCCCCCGTACGGCACAACAATCCACTCCAGCGGCGGATACCCGTTGTCGCCCAGAATGTAACCGTGTGTCCTCACTCCGAACGGCAGCACAACAGGTGCTCCACTGAAAAGATCCCCCTCCTCCGCACGCGCCCACAGACTGGAGAGTTGAAGCACCCGAATGTCATGCAGCTCCCTGGGTAACCGACGAGAACGTCCGTGATGCGCAAGTCCAGGTCCACCACCACCTACGCTACAACGGAGAAACGATGCTTCCGGTCGAAGTAGTTCTCCGAAGGAGCGTTCGCCGGTTTGTCGACGTAAACGTGCGTGCAGTCTATGCAGCCATAGCAGTTGGGAAAGCCCTTCACCTCGAAGGCACGCAGAACGAGCGTATGACGCATCCCAGTAGGCCTAACGATCTTGTCATTGTACACCCTCAGGAGCGCCCTCGTAATGTCCTCCACTGCGATCAACCCGGTTGCGCGCCCTATTCCGAATGCCGACGTGCTGCTCTCGTACGTCTCCCCGCTCGCCCATCGGTACAACGCATATGCGATGATGTGATCCGGCTGCAAAGGAACCCTGCAGAATGTCACCCGCCGCTGCAGAAGAGGGGACAGTGCCTCCACGATCTCCAATGCAGAATGCACACGGCCTGGAACTGTTGTGGGAGAGTGTCCATATTCGTCTTGTGTGTGCGGAGGAACAGCCTCCACATCCATTTCAATCTCCCGAAACCTCTCTCTACTGCTCCCCTGGCGACCTTTTGCTTGTTGTCGAACCTCTCCTCATCGGGGATTTGATCGGTCCCCCCGTACGGCACGACAATCCACTCCGATTCTCCATGAACACCCTGGGGGGCATCCTCAACTTTTCCTTGTAGTACTCGTCTGAGGCGTTGTCCATCTTCCGCAGATCCTCCCACGTGCCACCCGTCCTTCTCCTCATCCACCACCTTGGAGTCGCCCTCGGTATCACCCCAGATGACATGGCGGCGCACAACTGGATAATGGATTCGGACATGGATACGCAGTCTGGCGCCGCCATCATGTGCTGGAGGAGCTCACGCTGCCTGCGAATAGACACTCTCGTCCTCAACCACGCCATCGTTCTCTCGATGCGACATCGCATCGCCACCGCCGACACTGCTGCAACCACTGCATTTCTCTCCACCCTGCTCAAGGTCTTGCCACGAACCTTCTGCGACACGTGTTCCATCACGATGCTCCGACGGCGCCTTGTTGAACACGCACAACAGACGGACGACTGGACCCTCGTCGCACACTGTCCCAGCAGACGTTGGAGTGGCCGAGGGCAGCTCCTCGTACACGAATCACGGGCGCGCGAAGCTATGGCGAGCCACCGGATCGTCGTCGTCTGCAGGAAGAGGAAAGTGGGACACGCACCACTTCACGCGCTCCAATGTCGTCACCTTTCGCGGCACGCCGGCTGACGATCGGATGAACGAGTCGCCAACAGCGATGGGCGCCGCAAATCGTCCACGCACACGTTTCGCACACTGGTAGCTCCAGGGGTGGTAACGCCACGGCGCGCCGGTGCGTATGTCATGACCGTTTGAAATTCGAATTTCGAAAAGGAACCTTCGCGCCTCTTTTCGCAGCACAGCATCGCAGGCCTCCTTGCGCCGCCAATGGACCACGCCTGACGACGGACGGACATCTCTCGACGACGACGGACATCCTCCCCCGCGGCCTCGTATATGCGTATGAAATTGGCCGCAGGATACTTCCAAGGTTTTTCCTTGGGACCCTTTCGTTTAGGACGCGGTGTAATGACGCCGCCGAATTCCTTGAAATTTTCCAAGGACTTCGTCCTAATTTCTGAGGATTTGTCAAGGAGGGTCTAACGAGGCCCAAGGAGGGAAAGATTGACCTCCTGCCCATGTAACCGAAACCCTAACGAAAAACATTTTCATCCAGCATCTGGGAAAACATCCCAAAATTCCCCCAACTCAACACTTGAAACCCGAAGTGGACGACCTTTCACCTGGGGGACGATCTACATCACCTCTTTATCATGGATTGACGGCCGAGCAACCCCTGATGATTGAAAAGAATGTAGTCTAAACCACTCCCACCCAGTGTTGAACAGAGAGGTGCAAAGGATGAATGGCGAGAGACTCCACACAGAAAAGAGGGCGGAAAGCAAAACACACATTCAAGCTCAAACCTCTACCCACCATCCTCATGAAATCCCTAACCCTATCCCATCGTGTTGATGTTGTCATTGTAGTTGTTGTTCAGACCCCTTGTGTGACGGACCCGCCGGGATGGTGGTCCGTCAGGATCAAGACGAAGGGATGAGGATGGGGGAAATCGAGATGGAGCTGGAAGGGACAACGCAGCTCCAACGCAGACTCAACACGCACGTACTCCAATTTGTGCAAATGAAGAATGAGTCACAAAACAAACTGCAGCTGGGGTATACCCCCAGCGGACTGACTGGACTGCACTGGACTGGCCTGGTACCGACAGTGGTACCGGGCAGGACTGGACTGGACTGAATAACCACACGGCCTGTGGGGTCAGGCCACGGCCTGGTCCCACAGGCCGAACTGGCAAATAGCCAAATAGGCCCTGGCTGTGGGCCAGGGCAGATGAAGGCCCGCTGCACGATCCTCAGACCTTTAATGGATCGCACGAGCCATAAACACGCTATCCACAAAAGCAGCGGAACTCTGCAACAAAGAAAACTGAGAGATCTAGGATGCGGAGCAAGCTCCATGTGGAGTCCATGCGATGCAGCCTAAGCTACATAATGTCAAAAGAAAAGCAAATGTCTGGTATACATATGCTAGCTAACAGCAGAAAATGAAATGTAGTATGATACAATCCTAAAGTCCTGGAGGCAGTGGCCTCAGTGTCGAAAGGAAAAGAGCAATATGTCACAAGATAATGTCATGTTGCTGAACCACTAAGAGTGGGATGGTCTCAGAGGGGGTGAATGCAGCCTAAGAATCGAAACYCCTAAGGGCAGTCACACATGAAGGTGGGATAGGTCATCAGGCTCAAGGTGGAAGAGTGGTAGCGAAACAAAACCAATGACCCTAACAGATAGACCATCAAGGCGGGTAATGCTTGACAAAAGAGTGACACCATGCAGGGCCGACCATGAAAAGGGGAGTCTGGAATAGGGTGGAGCTATGCCGAACTGCAGGCATGCAATAGCCGGCGCTAGGGTGATGAGGGCAGTGGGTGAGGGAAACATGCACACAACTCACTGATTGGGAGAGGGAGCTAGATCTGGGAGCAAGGAAGCCAAGATAATGCTACGGTCCCAATGCCTATGCGATACCAAGGGAGAGCCAAACTCAAAGAGACCCAGCTAAGTGAGAACCATCATGCGACAGGGGCAAGGGAGTATACAGGGTAGGGTGGTGACGTGAAGTAGTCACGTCCAAAGTAGCTGAAGTCGTCGAAGTAGTCGATGACGTCGATGAAGTAGGAGTGGAGTCGATGTCGAAGCAGATTCGCAAAACGCTGACATCCTGAAGAAGAGATGATGATGGAGTACCTGATGGTGTGAGTCAGTGGGAAAAGATGGAGGATAAGAGTGTCAGTCATCGTAATGCGAAGGGCGACGATGAGTGCGTTGTGGACGCTCGAAGGCAACCGTCTGCGGTTGAGGAACGACCTCAGAGAGAGCGAGCACGTCCTCAGCAATCTCCTCAGCCGGAGGAGGAGGAAGAGGGTCAGTCGGCTGAGTAGAAGCAGATGTCTCAGCACGACGAGCACGATCATATGTACGCACCAACATCCTGGCGTGCTGCAAGTGCTCGAGGGGCTCCCAAGTAGCCTCCTCATCAGGGTAGCCCTTCCAACGCACAAGGTACTCGATGAGTGGAGGGGTATCGTCGGTAAATCGGCGTGATACGATGTTGGAAACAACGAACTCCTCGTGACCTTCCACCATGATAGGTGGAGGGCGCTCATAAGGGCGTTCGGCGAAGCGCTCGGACGGTCTGCGATAAGGACGCAACAAGGAAACGTGGTAAATATCGTGTACGCGAGCCTGTCGAAGGTAATCAGGTAGCTTCACACGGAAGCTGACCGGACTAGCGGCAGTATCAGAACCGACGGCCTGAAGGATGCGGCATGGACCGAAGAAACGACACATGAACTTGCGAAGCGTACCTACTTCTAGTTGTAAGTGTCGTGCGTCGACGATTACATCGTCACCGACTTTGAATGAATGATCCATTCGTGATCGGTTCGCTCGTGCGGCCATGCGAGTCTGGGAGTTGGCTAAACTCTTGTGTGCGCGCTTCATAATTGCCGTCATGTGGGCGATCCAGTCGTCAAGCGCAGGGCAATGAGTGTCTGGGCGCAACCTCGATGGTCATAGGAAATCCGTGGGTACGCGAGGGTGGTAGTCGAGGTCGCAATAGAATGGCGACATCCCCGTGGCTGGCGAAACAGTGTGGTTGTACACAATCTCCGCGTGAGCTAAGTATAAGTCTCACTGCTGGTCATCCCTAACAAACTTTCGAAGGATATTACCGAGAGTTTTGTTGGTGACCTCAGTCTGACCATCCGTCTGAGGGCGGTAAGACGATGAGAAGCGGAGCTGAGATCCGTACACCTCGTGTAGGCATCGCCAGAATGTGCTGGTAAAGCGCGGGCCACAGTCGGAGATGATGCTCTGAGGTAAGTCGTGATCTCTCACGACTCAGTCGAAGACGATGTCGGTGACCTCACGAGCGCTAATGCGATAGGGGCACGGGACAAAACGTGCACGCTTCGTGAAGCGATCGACGACGACCAAGATAGCATCATGACCGCGCTCAGTAGGTGGGCGGAGGGGACCAATGAAATCCATCGAGATGGACTGCCAACGATGCTCAGGTATGGGTAGGGGTTGAAGTAACCCATACAGAAGGTGGTTCGCACTGTTCACCTCCTGGCAGGTAGGACACTCCTGGATGTAGGCTTTGACAAAGTCCTTGGACTTCGGCCAAACATATAGGCGGTAAACACGAGCCAACGTCTTGTGGAAACCCATATGACCGGTAGCTACCTGGTCATGGAACTCTGCTACAGCCTGGACACGGAGCTGTCCAATGGAGGGAACGCAGATACGTGGTTCTAGCTGACCAGATCTGCCATGCCAGTACACAATGCCGTTCTCCCCGAGGGAGTAGGAAGGAACGGTCTTGCCACTCCGCAGTGTCGCGTGGATGACGCGATAATCGGGGAAGTGGTGGTACTGAGTGCGATACGCGTCAATCACCGACTGATCAACAGTGGTGATGGAGATGGCAGCAAGATGGATGGGTTCCTGATTGTGATCAGGACGACGGTACAAGGCATCGGCGACGCGGTTCGTTTCACCCTTGATGGACTGAGTGGTGAAACTGAACCCGGATAAGTCACGCCACCAGCGTGCCTGTCGAGGGGAAAGCTTAGGCTTCGTGAGGAAAGCCTGGACAACTGAGTTGTCCGTGCGCACCGTGAAGGGCGCCCCGTGCAAATAATGATGCCGATGCCGGGTAGCATAAACTACTGCGAGAACCTCACGTTCATCGGCAGTGTAGTTTATCTCGGCAGGCAGTAGCTGACGGGAGTAAAAAGCGATCGGGTAATCCCCAGCACGAGCCTCGACAGTCTTATCCTCCGCGATGGTCGGGGAGTAAGTAACAGGAGGACTGTCAGTGGAGGGAAGTGGTGGGAGGGTAGGCGTAAGTCGAGAAGCAGTGTCAGCTGGAATGGGGGAAAAAGGAGGAACATGGGGGTAAGGTGAATCCGGAGGAGAGGGAAACACCTGAGAAAGGACAACTCCTACTGCAAAATCTGACGCATCAGTGGTGACGATAAAGGGACAATCAAAATCAGGAAGGCGAAGAACCGACGCACAAGTTACCGCCTTCTTGAGGGCGCGAAAGGCGTCCTTGCAGAGGGGTGTCCAAAACCACGGCGGCTTCTTCCAGAGGAGGGTAGAGGTAAGGACGTAGGAATACCTAGCGTATCCCTGGATAAAATTACTATAGTAGTTCGTGAGGCCTAGGAAACTGCGAAGCTGCTTGGCAGATGTGGAGACGGGCCACTCTGCAATAGCAGTGGTCTTCGCGTCATCTATGTGGAGACCCTGGTCATACATATGGTGTCCTAGGAAGTCCACTTTGCGCTGGGCAAAGCGGCACTTACTAAGCTTGGCATAGAAGCCATGCTTGCGTAAGCGCTGTAGTACATCATGGAGGTGTCTGATATGGTCTTCTAAGGTACGACTGTAGACCAAGATGTCGTCCAGGTATACGAGAACGTATTCCTCAAGGATGTCCCTGAAGATATCGTTCATCGCCGTCTGGAAGGTGGCGGGTGCATTGGTGAGGCCGAATGGCATCACCGTGAACTCGTAATGGCCGAAGCGCGACCGGAAGGTGGTCTTCGGCTGGTCCTCTGCGGCAACGCGGATCTGCTGGTAACCACTACGAAGATCGATCTTCGTGAAGAAGCGGTTGCCTGCCAAACGGTCAAATAGCTCATCCGCGCGGGGCATGGGATAGCTGTTCTTAACCGTGTAACGATTAAGGTCGCGGTAGTCGATGCAGAGGCGGAGAGTTCCGTCCGCTTTGCGAGCAAAGAGTACAGGTGCACCCCAAGGGGAGTTACTGGGTTTAATGAAACCCAGTCGAAGGAGCTCCTCAAGCTGACCCTTGAGTTCCGTCGCCTCTTGAATCGAGAGTCGGTACGGTGCCTGATGGTGAACACGATAGTCAAGCACGAGCTGGATAGAATGCTCAACACCGTGCATCGGGGGAATTCTGCTGTATGAGAAATACGGGGGAAAGACGTCGCGGTACTCTCCAATCAGGTCGCGAACGGCCGACTCTAAGTCTGTCGTGAACCGTGTGAGTTCCTCAGCGTCTGTGTCGGCACGAGACGTATGTGTGGACTCGACAATCGACAATCGACGGCGCAGGGGCCTGGGACGTGGAGGGGGTATCCGCAGGCTGACGGGTGGACGTAGAGATGGGAGCCGCGAAGATGGAGGAAGGGTCAGGGGGATCAGGCTCCAGTGAGATGAGCTCAACCTCGGGACAGAGTGGATCGTAGCGAAGAAGATCCATGACGTTCACTGAGTAGAATGTGACGTCCTCCTGTCGGATGAAGTGAGCAAACTGACGAGGGGAAGTGAAGGCGATGTCTGGGTGGGACCCAGAGGGACGAGGGTCCTGGGCAGGTAGGTCTGGGGGGGTGTTACCTATGGTTCCAATGAAGGGGACTCGAAGGGTCTGGCCGCACTTCGTTTTGAGAACGAGTGTCTCGGTCGCCCATTCGGCCTCTGTGTTGCGGAACCGGAGAGACCAGGGAGTGCCAAGGATAAAGTCGTACCCAGTCTCCAGCACGTCGAAGTATGCAGAGGAATGGTAGCGCCTAGGCGTCTGGGTACTATCCGATGGCTGGAGGGTGAGAGAGAAGTGGAGGTCGGGGACCGTCTGATCGAAGAAGCGTTGTGTCTTGTTATCTCCGAGGGTAACGGAGATAGGAGAGCGAGACATAGAGGTAGCTAGGCGAGCTTCCTCAACCGCGCGAGGGTGAACGAAGTCTCCCTGCAAGCCAGAGTCCCATAAAGCGCGATACACCCTCGTAGATGTCCCTAGGCGAATAAGGATAATGGGGAGGGTATGATCAGGGTCAGAGAGAAGAGCGAGAAGACGACGCAGGACGTTTACGTGTCTCGTGAGTCGCTCCTGACGAGCCTGAAGAATGCTCAAGTCCAGGAGAGATGACACAACGTCATCGCGAGTCGCCAGCTGAGCGCTACAATGGGCTGTGCGAATGGCGCGACGCGTCGGAAGTATCGGGGGAGAAGCGCTAGATACGGCGGTCTGCTCGGAGGCAGCCGATACCTCGACAGACGACGGGGCAGAGAGAATCGCGCCTGTCATGTCCTGAGGATCCTCTGGTGGGGTAGCCAAAGGGACAAACCCCGACTCGGTGGTCGGGAAGCCGGCTATGTGCGAAGCCTCAGGGGTACACTGCACCGTGGCTAGCTGGGTGGGGCTGGCCGGGCGGGGCCGGGGGGGGACTGAGATCGGCGCTAACGAGAAATGTCAGCGTAGTACCGATCGAGGGCGGTGTGGTATGGACACCGTGAGGAGGTGTGTCCATCCTGGCGGCAACGAAGGCAGCCACGTCGGGCCTCGAGGGCGGCACGCTCCTCGGGGGATAGAGCTCCGCGAGGAGGGACCAAACCCTGCGGGAGGTCTATCTGAGGAACTGTGGGTGTGCGGGCGCCAGCCTGTGCAACCCGAATGCGTGCACGACCCATGGCAGACATGGCCATCTGCAGGCGCTCGGCCATTGGGACAGTGTCGTCATCAAGTGGTACTGGATGACGTCCCGAAGCTCGATGTCCTTGGGGTCGTCCCCAATGGTAGGATCGAGCTCGGTTGAGGCGTCCTCTCCATACTCGAGAGAACTGTAGTGCCGAGCGAATGGCGCTCCAGGTCGAGCCGGGCGACGAAAACGACCAGCAAACGAGGAGCGGCCTCGGGTGGTACCCCGAGACTTGGAGGTGGCGGTTGGCCACGAAGAGGATGGGGCGACGGAGAAGCGACTGCACATCCGCTGGTACTGACGTGCATCCTCGTATGCCTGTTCTGCGGAAGAGAATGATCGCCTCCATAGCTCTAGGCGGTAGTCAGTCGGCAGGCTGACAAGGAACCGGTCGGTGAGTGTGACCTCCGGTAGGAACGTCTCGTCACAAACAAGGCGAGCGTCCTGAAACACCCGGATGTGACGCTCCAGGTCGGCCGGTACAGAGGACCCGGACCATCTGGTCTGGGTGACGCGGTCTAAGGCGTCGGTGGCGTCATGACGAGCGCCGAAACGGTCCTGAAGGAAGGCCGCGAAGTCGGCCAGAGTGGGGACCTCACCCACGCGGAGGCGCTGGGTATAATGATTCTCTCACGCAGTGGAAGGGCTACCTCGCAATTTGGTTGCGAGCACATCGCACCACAACTCCTGACGCGTGGTCGTCATAGAGAGCGTGTGCGTTGCTATCTGCAACCAGCGAAAGACACGGGATGTGCCATCATACTCGGGAATGTCCGTGGTGCGCACAGGAGGATGTCCACTGTGCTGATGGTGGGGGGAGAGAGATCGAGGCGAGTGCACTGCGGCAGCGTAAGTCGAGGCCGCTGCACGGGCAGAGGTGAAGGAAGGCTGTGGGCCGTGGCCGCTGGCGGATGGACCAGCAGACGAGGAGGCAACGGCCGCGGGCAGCTGTCCCGGAATAGCCAGTTAGGAGGGAAGAGGTTGAGGAGCAGGTTGAGGGAAATGAGCCTACATCATGGGGACCGAAGGGGTGGTAGAGGAAGAAGGGTGGGCAGCCTGTGATGGGTGAGGCAGTCTCAGAGCGAGAATCTCCGCCTGAGCCTGCGCAATGGTGGCCTGTAAAGTGGCCACTCGCTGGGTGCGCGGGGTCGGAGGTGGAGGGGGCGAAGCGGGTCTCCCAGTGGGAGGAGGAATCCCAGCCTGGGCGGTACCTTGCTGTGGGGGCGGGGGGACGAAGGCAAGAAGAAGAGGGTGGAGCCGTATTGCCGCGACCGGTGCGGGAAGCTGGGAAGCAACACCAGTGTGGGTCGATGAAACTGCTGGGCCAGAAGGCGGTACCTGGACCACAGCACCTACGGCAGTAGTAGAGACGGTAGGGGCGGCCGTGACCGGAAGAACTGCCGCAACGAACGGGGTGGTCTGAGCGACAGCAGCACTCGCCGCCGCTGAGGGGGAGTTCTGGGCCTAGTCCGCAGAAGAGGGGGAACCGTGGTGACTCCGTCTCCGGAGTCCTGGGGAGCCGGAATCGGAGCCGGTAGAGGAAGGGGTGTGACAGCGGTGGGGAGAGCGATGATGGGAGCCCTTGAGGCGGTTGATGTCGAGGGCTAGCGCATTGATTTGCGCTTGCAACGGTCCAAGTGTACTAAGTTGTGCGTGGATCGCTATAAGGACGACATGAAGGTCCATGGTGTCCGCATGGGCCTGATCATGAGCCACTGACGGCGCGCTGACCTGGGGTGTGGACTGCGCCACGGCGATCTCCTCGGATGAACTCCCTTCCATGGCCGGAAGGGGAATGGAGGTAGTCCTCAGAGGAGTGTGTGGGGAAAGGGACCCACTGGTAAGAGGAAGGGGACCGCGGGAGCGGAGTGAGTATGTGTGAGTCGGCTCGCCTCGGATTTTGCGAGTCGCGCGTGATACGAAGGCGCCGAACCGCTCGAGGGGGGAGGAGCCGTCCAGGTCCAGGGTGTCCGACGGGAGGAGGCGGGAGAGTAGGAAGGGGGGCAGGAGTTAGGAGAACCCTAAACCCTAAAAAACCCTAAGAAAACCCTAACCGGAGTTTAGGTGGTTAAGTGAGGGTAGCGGTGACCTAATCAAGAAAAAAGATAATAAGGAGGGGAGGGGGAAAGAAAATAGAATAAACAATAAAATTTCGAGATAAAAATAAAATAAATAAATAAATAAAAATAAATAAAGAAATAAAATGTAAAGAGCGAGGGAAGAGGACTTATTTATTTTTTTGAAAATTTCGGCAGCATTTTCTTACTCCAACGGGGTCAAAATGTGCAAAGAGAAAGGAAAGACTAAGAGAAACACACTAATTTTTACAATGCCGCAAATTAAAATTTTCAGAAAAATAAGTAAATAAATAAATAAATAGATGAATAAACAAGGAGGTAGAGGAGAGTGAAGAGAAACTAACTAAGTTTTGGATTTTTCAAAATAAAAAATAAAAAATTGGCAGCATTTCGTTACCCCCATGGGGTCGAAATGTGTTGAAAAAGACTAAGTATGAAGACAACAGAAAATTTCGGCAGCACTTCGTTACCCCCACGAGGTCAAAATGTGTGCCGAAAGCAAGGATGGCTAAGTCCTAATCAGATTTTAGGGTGTAGCAGAAAAATTCGAATTTTTAGAAAAAAATAAAATAAAAAATAAAAAATAAGACAGATGAGAAAAGAAGTAGGGAAGAAGATAATTCGAATTTTTGAAATAAAGGGAAGATTTTAATCAAAAGAAAAGAAAAGAAGAAAAAACAGAAAATTTCGAAGTTGGGTGGGGGGGGGATGAAAAAGTGATGAAAGGAAAGAGAAAAATAGGTGGGAAAGAGAAAAGATTGAAGTGGTAGGTGAGGGAGATGATGGGGTTGTAGTTGGGGGAAGAAAGGAGGAGAGGATGGTGAGAAAATGAGAGAGAAAGCTATGGAAAAGGTGAAGAAAAGAGTGAGAGATTAGTAAAAGAAGGTGAGTGGAAAGAGAGGAGAGAAAAAGATGGTGGGAGATGAGTGAAGAGGGAAGGGTATGAGAGATTAAGGGGAAGGAGAGGAGAAAAGTAAGGAAAAGAAGCAAGGAGAGTAAGGTTGGGAGAGGAGAGAGTAAAAATATGGTAGTGGATGGAGAAAGAGTGAAGAGCATGAGAGATTAGTGGAGAGAAGAGGAGAGAAATGAGAAAAGTGGAGAGAGGAGTGAGAAAAGGTGATGGATGAGTGGTGGTGAGAGAAAAAGAAGGTCAGATGATGAAGGGGAGAGAGGGAAAAGGGAGTGGGAGAGTGGATTAGGGATGAGAGAGGTGATACCCAGCTCTTGGGTAACCAAGAGCATACAACTTCACCAAGATCCACAAGATCTTGGCCTTCACATACCCCTTGGGAGAAGGGATGTTCAAGGTGGTGATGGCTGAGATCTTGATCAGCCACCCAGTTCCACTGTAGTGCAGCCCCCTAGCCAGGGGGGTCTTCAAAAAAATCCTCAACAAACTGCCACGTGACACTTTTGGAGATGGTCACGGGT